CACACAAATACACACAATACACACACACACACACACACACACACACACACACACACACACACATACACCCACACACACACACATATATGCACACACACAACCACACACGTACAAATGTGCACACATAACCAGACACACACACACCCACACACCAACTAACACACACGCACATACACACACACACACACACACACACACATACAAATGTGTATACACACACACACACACACACACACACACACACACAAGAACATAAATCGAATGATTGTATATTTGTTTGTTAGAGTACAGAAAACCTCATCGACACAAAAACGGTCTTTCAGTGCAGGGCAGAAATAAGACAGACAGACGGGAACAACAAAGGGTCAAGTATAGGACCTACCAGTGGCGCCCTCTTACCATTCGAAAGCATAAATATCCACAAACACACATACATGCACATACCCCCAAACACACACATACACACACATACAGCACATACATTCATACAGCACATACATTCATACACACGCTTTTGTTTAAGTAAGAGTTTTACGGCATTTACAACACGATAAGGTCATAAGAATAGAGTTGTCACAAGAGTAACACACAGAAAAGAAGGAAGAGATATCAGGGCGATATAGATGTCTAATAAGAAAGAAGGAGCAAACCACACCAGAGCACCTGCCTGCCAACCACCCGCCTTTCATACATACACACTTACACATACACACAAACTTACACACACATACACACACACACACACACACACAAACAGACACACACACACACACACACACACACACACACACACACATGATCCCTCACACGAAGCAAAAACCATGAAATTGTGAGACTTTGCTAACGCTGTAGACGGGAAAAGCTGATTGGCTTTAGCTTTCTGAGTTTGGTGTTGTAATTTGGCAAAACCAAAAATCTCAAATGAGTTATAATAGGTTCAAAATAACCTTGTTTTCAGACGTAGATGAACTGTTTTACAAACTCATTTGTCATGAAACTTGCAACTTCAAATTTATATATATATGAATTGATTAATTAAGCAAAATAAGAAATCTCATGGATTGAGAAAGTTACAGGGAACGGTAAAATGACTTCGTCTAAAGGTGAGTTTATTCCACACAAGAAAGGACGACTCATTGTTTTGGTGCTTATCTGTATCACTGAAATAAAAAAATCTCTTTTTTTTTCTCTCAAAGATGTATTGTGGGTTTTTTGGTCTTTATCTGTGAAACAAGTAAATACTTTTTACAGACATAATCATTATGTTTCTGTCAGCATCATGGAAATATATAAATAAATAAATACTTCATTTTTCTCTAAGATTTACCATAATTTGTTTTTGCTTATTATTGTTACATAAGATAATACTATTTATTTTCAAAGGTACTGACCCACCCACTGTTAGGTGAAGAAACCCTGACCATGACCCGCGTCTTAAATAAGCTCATTTTTAGATGATGATGCTCATTGTTATTTCTATAATCTGTTTACTCTTTCATTCCTTCCCGCCCACAAAGGTCATCAAAAAAATAATAAATAAGCAAAATATACAAAAAGTAAGCAATTTTACAATTTAAACAAAGGAAGGGGAGGGGGGGGGGCAACATCAAACAAGGATGCAGAGGGCAGAAGGGTAAAATACCTAATACATAATACATATAACAGATTTGATTTGTATAGTTTTCTTAGATGTTCACATTAAATTCATCCAAAATGCACCAGTGGTCCAGCAGAGATGAGAATGTCGCCACTCTCCGCCCATTACATGAGACGGAACAAAAGAGGGAAAAGGCTGCTATACTCCGGACAAACAAATTGGTAATAAGGACGCTCAATCTCCACAAAGTAAACAGGCGGAATATAATAGCAGGCCAGACAACACCCTCCCAAAGACAGATGAGTGGAAAGGTCCGAGGGCTAAAACATATCAGTATGCTACTCGTGTTAGAGAGAGCAGAACACTCATGTTCATGTTCATCAAGACACCAGTGGTAGGCAAAAGCACAGTATGATCAAGTTGTTCTCAAGACTCAGGTAAGTGTTAATCAACAAGCCAGTGGTAGGCAAAAGCACAGTATGATCAAGTTGTTGTCAAGACTCAGGTAAATGTTAATAAAAAAGCCAGTGGTAGGAAAAGCTAAGTATGATCAAGTAGTTCTCAAGACTCAGGTAAGTGTTAATCAACAAGCCAGAGGTAGGCAAAAGCAAAGTATGATCAAGTTGTTGTCAAGACTTATGTCAATGTTACTCAAGACACCAGTGGTAGGCAGAAGCAATGAATGTTCATTTTGTTCTCAAGCAAGCCACACATGCATTACAACTGAAAACGTGTTAGACTGGACAAGGATTGTGATGCTTTTACACAAAATCTGGGGATTCTGAAAGTTTTATTTTTTTGTCAGATGAAATATTAACACACTATTTTCAGCAAAAACGATAAATTTGCCTCTGCAATTTCCTTGTGGTGAGGCTTAGTACCATTATCATATTATTGTCATCACCTATCATTCCTTAAAACCTCTGACAGCTCCGACTAAACTCCCCAAGCAAAATTCAGCCACCATACAACTAGTGGCACAACCTCATCATCCCCCTCCCCCCTACATTCCCCATACCCCCCCCCCTCCTCCTGCCCATTCTAGTACCTTAAAATGTAAAAAAAATTAAAAATAGGAACAAAAATAGTTCATCCCAAGAGCCCTGACTCTAGTTTCATTTGGTTTACTTTGATAAAAATCTTTGATGTTTCAAAAAAAAAAAAAACAGTTCAAAGTTCACAATCCAGGTCATAAAGCGTATGGGTCACTTCTACAATTCTGTATAGAAAAAGAAGAACTGAAAATGTCCGGGGAACCATTTCACAGGTCAGGCAGTTCACACTTACATTCTCCTGTGGTTAAGGAAGACGTAAAATGGGCAAACTTCTTATTAATAATAGGAAGGAAAAAACCCAACCAAAACAGACCAAAAAAAAGCGATTTTTTAAGTAAAATAAAAATATAGTGAACACACGTAAACCAAAATTGTACAGGGGTATAAAGAGATTATGTTACATAACAAACTAAAGGATAGACCAGTTCCATGTTCAGAAGTACAAAAGAAAAAGAATTATGAGTAAAACTAATCCCATAGGGTGCTGTTTGTTGAGTAAAGATAGAAAAGAACAATTTGTTTCACCTAAAACAAGCTAATATCAATGATAAAACTCTTTTATTATACAAAAAGTATGAGAATATTGGTCACAGAAATGTACCTAAACCGGTTGATGGTGCCTTTGATCAACGTTTTTCAGTAAAATCCATGCATGAATGTGTTTTTAAATGGACATTAAAGAGGTTGAGCCAAAAACAGAAAAAAAAAAAAAAAATTTTAATCACCCAACATTCACAAAAAATGCAGATTTCTTTGATTTCAATACATGTATTTTGACGAGAGCCTGATTTCGCCACGATGCGACACATTTTGTATTAGTAACTGTAAATGTTTTACACTCCTGTTGGCACAATGTAGACTAACTACAATAACATGGGCCGCTTCAACCTTGCAGGCCCAACCCATCCTGAGCTAGAACATACATAATGTCCCAGTACACTAGGGCTGGGCAATGAGTCGCTTTAGCAAAATCCGGATACTATCTTAGTGCACCTATTCGGAAAATAATATGATATGAACCGCATCGGCAAATGGGTTAGAACCACTTCGACAAGCGGGTAGCACCATTTCAACAAATTATGGGTGCACCCACTTCGGCAAATGCGTCAGGAAAAAAGAGAGTTAAGAGTCTGAATTCGGATAATGTTTCATTGAGAATTATCCAGTTATCCTATAGGTTATCCGGATTTTGCCCACCTCTACAGTACACAAGCTTAGATACTTGATGAAAAAAACAATATTTCGAGCTTCTTTTCCTAAACAGAAGTTCTTTTGGAACAATCTTTGACCCTACTCTTCGTATATTATACGTACAAGCTACGTCCTTCCCTTAGAAATAGGGTCAAAAACACAGTAATTCTAATGCAGATGAGGATCTTTAATAGATGTTTGATATGAAAGAAGGAGCAAACCACACCAGAGCACCCACCAACCACCCACATTGGCTCATCTATGTCACCTTCTTACAGTTGAGTCAGAAATAGCCACACAGATACAATAATACCAGTATTTTATTTGAGATCGAAAGAAGATGAGACATGAGACATGACAGCCACATGTATCTCACAAAAAAAGAAAAGACTTCCGGTCTGAAAAATTCGAAGGACTGCACACTGCATGCATATATGTATCCAAAGCAGTTGGTTAAATTTTTACAGTGTGTAAACCAGCATGCTGAAAAGCATTAATAACACACTCGTCTTAAACATTTGTCCTTTTCACAACCTCTTTCTTCCTCAAATGTGGGAGGTTGCCCTCAGGAATAACAGCTGTTAGTCTCGTAGACATTTCAATGTAAAAAAAAATACCAACTCAATAATTTTTTTCTAAACTTGAAGAAATTGACAATAATTTTTTTTTTTTTTAATCTTCGTAATTTCACCATTTTTTTCTCCTTGACTAGGCCATTTTGATTTCTTATTTTTCTTAACTTGGAAAATTTGTTGGCCATATGACACTATGGCATAAGTATTGCCACAGTGGGTTTTATCACAGAGCCGCAATGATGATGATGATGATAATGACATCAGTGATGTGACATCAGTGATGCCCAAAATGGCAAGGATAAGCTCATTGTAGTGACCATGTTTACAAGAGTGACATTAGAGATTATGTTTATGATCGTTGCAACAATACCAACAACGCTGATGAAAAATGCCGATGTATATAATATTGAGCAAAAAGATTAAAATAAACACAAGGAGAATATTCTTATCACCTCCACCATAAATAATGTTCACTGCAAATTATACAAAACAAATAACAGTAGCAGTAACAATTGTAGTTATAGAGATATAATAATACTAAAAAATAAGAACAAAAATAATACCAAAGTGTAACA